ATGGAATATTAATTAGGTTTTACTGTTGCATTGACTGCGGATTTGGCACACTTGAAAGGCGCGTGGAGTTCACGGTGTTCTTTGGCGAGTGGTACAAAATAAATGCATGCCAAAGACTGAGGGCGGACGTCGTATTGTGGACTATGGGGCTAGTGGTTCTCTTCCTCCTTCCTTTAGTAATAATTTTTTATCCAATTTCTTTCCACTTTCAAAAAATTTTAAATTATATTTTTTTAAATAAATAAATATTTATTTTGGGACAATTTTGTCCTTCAAATACCTATTCGAAGCTTCATTCTCTCCCTCCCAAGTCACCCCTCGATTTCTCCTTTTTTTTTTCTTTTTCATTTCTTCCAAACTATTTTATATTTATCGTTATAAATTCCACTTTTCTCAAATTAATAGAAATTTTCTCTATGTATAGCTTTGTCTCTTGTTTCTATTAATTAATTTTAAAATTACAACTTATTTTAATTATTAATTAATTAATAATTTCTAAAGTTTTGTAATTTTTTATTTTCTATAACTACATAAAAGAAAAAACTCTTTTTCCTAACTTTTTTCTCATTAAAACGTGATCTTCTTTTCTCTTTCGGTACGTTTTCTCCTTTAGTTTGTCTTGTATTTTCATATATTTTAATTATATTGTCTTATTTAACGTTTTTTTCAATGCAATGTTAATAATTGTTATTTCAAACAACACTTGATTACCTAATACCTACAATATATAGGTAATTTATTAAAAAGTTTAAGAGATGACTTGCTTGAAGTTTTTTTTTTTAATTATCTTTTTCAATGAATCAAATAAGAAATCAAAACAAAATTCTATTTCATTGTATGTGTTAGGAATAAAAAGGGATGAAAAATTCATGAATATATGGTTTTTTTAGGAAAAATATTAAGTATCAAAGAAGAATATGTGTTAAGGTGTTTATTTTGCTTGTTGTATTTTACTTATGAAAAATTTTCAAATAATTGACAATTCTCATTTTTTTTAGACACACCGGATTAGTGGATAATGAGAATTATTGGAACTTCAAATTTATGAGATAAATATGAAAAATATATAAAAAAAAAACAATTATGAGATAAACTTTGAGAGATAAAAGAGTCAAATTATATTAAAAATTTTAACTATGTAATTACTTTTTATATTTTTAAACTTTAAAATAAAATTATGAAATTTCACGTGCACTGCATGCAGAGTGCTCAAATAAACAAACTCTTTGATGAGCTGATTTTTTTTATTACAACACGTGGGAGGAAATTCGAATTCATAACCTCTTGGTTGGAGGTATATGTCAATTAAGACTAAACTATGCTCAGACATTCAATGAGCTGAATTTAAGTAATGAGAATTTAGGGATCCGCATCGAAATCGCCCCTCGCAAATGAATTGGGGGAGGAATCTAAGAGCAAGCCATCACCATAAAATTGGCCAAGAAGAAAGTGTATATTACCTAATTTTTTTTTCTAAAATTCATTCCATAACATAAATTTAATAATATATTTTTACAATAGTATAAATTTATTTTCTTAAAATTATTTTACGGATATGTTTTGTAAAATTTTGATCTTTCAAAATACATCATTTTTTATACTATTTATGTATTTGCTTTTCTAATTTTTTTTCTTTTGGAGAAATAGAAAATACTCTTAAACATTAATTTTTTATAAAAAAAAAAACAGAAAATTCGATTTTTTTTTCATATATACCAACAACAAATTTTTACATTAAGAATTTCCATAATATCTATTTTTGTATTAAACATTGCAATCACGCTTCTCTGCAGGATTAGTTTAGGTTTAAATTTAATTTTCTCCTAGAAATTTTTAGATTATTTATTTTTTAATTTTAACTCTTAAAATATATATTATAATCATTCAACTTCAAAAGAAAAAAAAAATCATGTTGCGTACCATATTTGTTGATGCACTGAATAATGTAATTTTATTTTGTTATTCTTCTAATTAATTTGGTTATCTTCTTCTTACTCTTTTTTTTAAAATGTTTGATGCAATTGAATGGTTTTTTTTTAATAATTTATAAGCTTAAAAATCTAATATTTGTATTATTATAAAAAACATTTTGGAAAATAAGAAGATTAGAGAAATATATAGAGAAAAAAAGATCCACAAGTAATGTGTTTAGATCTAACAACTTACCCAAATTTGTACTTATATTGAAACTAGAAAGGATGTCAAGTAGTAAAAGAGATCAAAGATGTGATTAAAATATTTTTTATCTTGAAGTTACTTGAAAACAAAAGGAAAATATAAATAGGAGAGTAATTTGATTAGTATGATAAAAATCAGGAAGATCCAACTATTTTATTAAACAAAATTTGACTTGAAGAAAGAGAAAAATTCATTCAAACTCCTATAACAATTCCCAAAATCCTCTAACAAACAAATAAGTCTCTATAAAACCCTCAAAACCTAAGCCATATTATTCAACTTCACAAGCATTTCTACTTCTTTCCATCCTTAAAAATATAATGGCACTCCAATGTCTCAAACTCTTCCTCTTCACTCTCTTCCTCACCTCCATGGCAAGAAACACGGTATCCATACGCGATCTCCACTCCCACACAAGTCACTCTCATCCCCATCCCCATTTCATTTCCCTCATGAGCATCTTCAAGACTCACGAAAGGGGCGACGGCGACACTATATAGAAGGAATCCACAACTTAAAGCTTTACCTTGGTTACTTAACCAATCTTCCAACATATGCCCACAACACTTTCGACGACCCTTTAGAATCAGCCCTCAAAATATACCAAAAAAACTAGCACCTCAATGCCACCGGCATTTTGGACGTCGAGACGCTAACACTATTGTCGATGCCCCGTTGTGGGCATCCCAACATTGTAAACCCCGATTACGTCATTTCCCCCGGAAGGCCCAAATGGCCACCCACCAAATACCACCTCTCCTACGCATTCATCAACGACTTCCCTCCAAACTTCAAGGAGCCAGTACAATGCTCTTTAAACACATGGACGTGAAAATCAGCTTCGAGAGACGGGACCATGGCGATGGGGTGCCTTTTTGTGGGCCCATTTTGGCGCACTCTTTCTTCCCAACGGATGGGAGACTTCACTTCAATGTGGACCAAAATTGGGCGTGGGGGGTTGTGACTGGTTCAGTGGATGTGCAGACAGTGGTTCTGCATGAACTTGGACATATTTGCCTACATTTGTCCAGGAACCACCAAGTGCATGAGTAAGGATGATATTGATTTATATAGCAGTTAGGTAGTTAATTATTAATCCTGCAACTAAATTCATCTTAGCTTAAGTAAGGTATTTTGCATTATATATATATTTAGAGAGATGTGTATGTATAATGCGCAGAGAGGTAGTAGTTGTTAGTTGAGTAGTTAGAATTTGTAATTTTGTTATTGGTTTCCGCCTGTTTACAGTTTGTTTCTTAACGAGGTGGTATGAACATTCTCAAAGAAACATTTTAACATGATAAAACTCATTTAGTTTAATTTAACAGATTTTAGCATACGTTGAGAATGGTTTTAGCAAAACAAATTTAATGATACGTTACACTCAAGAACGTTCTCATAGTCCAAATATTTTTCAAGTGATTTTGAATGAAAATTTCTCAAATTTTAATGCAGAAACAAAAGGTGAAATAGTAAAAACAAATTTAAATTTTAAAATAATAGCCATTTTAAAAAACTAATTTTCTTTTTTTCCTTTACCACAAATGGATTGACGGGAACCATTTTCAAAATCACTTTAGAATTATTGTCAAATATATCATTATTTTAAAATGATGTGATTTTGACATGAGTGAGAGTGATTCCAGGCATATTAAAATCATTTCCAAATATACCATTACTGTATTTCACATGTCATTTTCTTTTTTATCATTTAAATGATATATTGGTTCATCAAATATGCTAATAGATAGCCTAAGATTTAGTTAATAGCTTTCCGATGTTTGTTTTTATGGTGTTTGCAAAGAATATTAATAGAAAATTAATAATATTTACCATTATTCTTAATGACATGTTTACCACTAATTTTAGTAAAGTAAAATATTTTCAAATAAATGCTTCCCATTAAAAGTTTTCTTATTATAAGACATGATTTTATTGTTTAAGCTATGGGCGATGAAGGCTGGAATATCTTTTAAAAGTGATTTGATTTTGGAAGATTTTCACAAACTCCCACACCCTCCTTATCCAACCGACCTATAAACTATAAAGGACAATTCATTTAATAAAACCACTTGAAAGGATCAAATTTTGGCTATCAAGTCAACATTAAGCAATCCATATTTCAATAAAGTTTTCCATAGTTTTGACCCAATAATTGACTATGACAATGACATTTTGCTTTAAATTGGCTTCCATTTAGACTATCAAGTATGATGACCTACGGTAAAAAATATCATTATTTATTTATGTCAGTTCCATAATAAGCAAGATATATTATTGTTCTCGCTTATCATCAAATATTTTTCAACTCTGATAATTTAATATCTATACTAAATACGAGTTAAATTATGGGTAAATTCTTAAACTTTAAAAGTGTATAATAAATGAAAAAAAAAACTTGCATGCCATTTACCAAAATAGCCCTACAACTAAAAGAATAGTGGGCCATGTTATACGGCCCATGGGCTTTCCTAAGATCGGAAAGCCCATGCATGTGGCCCAGAATGATGAACAACGGTCCAAGGCAACGCAACGCCACTAATTGCGCACATGTTCCGGTCACGGTCACCACTCTTACAGCGTCAACGCTAATGGCTTGGGCCAATCCGTACTCCTTGCAATGGATAAGATCGCTCTCACTCCAATATAACCTCCATTATTTCTTTTCTTCAGATTTAATTCTTTTTCTCTGGGTTTTTTTTTTTCTTTTGTCAATTTTCTTGGGGGGTAAAACGAGTGGTTTTCGTTCTCACTCCCAAACGCTTCCCACAAGCTTCTGGATTTTCCAACTTTCTTTTTCGTGTAGACCCACTTCAATGCCTCAACTCAATTTGGGAAAAATAAGGAGAAATTTGGCCAGTAATTGTTTCTCAGCGAGAGGTTTGCCATTGGGAGAACGAGGGACCCGATAGTGGTTTATGTGGAGGGTAGTGGCCCGGAATCAGAAGCTTTAATCGCGTAGCTTGAAAGCGATTTGAGAACACTCTCTGTACAAGACCTTCTGGCGGAGGGGGATTGCGATAAATATCAGTCCTTATCGAGATTTTGAATGTTGGATTTTCTGTGTGAATCTATTTTCTAAGCATTTATCCAACCGTGAAAATTTGGTTTTGATTTCCCTTTTATTTGTGGTTCAGACCAAAAGTTTCTCGGCTGGTCGTGTCTCGTGTGATGTGGGTATGTTCCATTTGCTGGAGGCCGGCAGGTTCTTGGAGAAGGCAGTTATTGCAGAAGTATTGATCTGAGAGGTTTTACCAGGTGAGTAACGAGTTCAATTTGTTGAAATTTAGCCAACACGAGATCTGGGTCTTCCCCTTTTCATTAGAACTATTTGGATTTGTTAATTTGTGAGGTGGAAATTCATGGTTGGATGGATTCGCTTTCTGCTAACGGCTTCTCTGTTTCCAATTCTGGAGGTGTTTCATTGTATTTTATTAGTTAATCTATCTTCCAATTCGGTGAATTTTTGTTGCATTAACATCCCCAGATTATAATTATGCTACTGAAGGAGTTCTTACCGTATGATTTCATAGTCTGCTCTGCTTCTTCTCTCTTCATTTGGATACTTGGATCACATTCAACTGATCGGTTTGCCTATTGATTTGAGTTTGGCTGAAATGTAACTTCTTTCAGTTTTGATTTTGACTCTAATTTTCCCCTTAATTAAAGGGTTTCTATTCTTGGAAATTAGTTTACTATTTATGAACTTGATTACCTGTCTTGCGAACATTGGTCTGCTCTGTTTTGGATGTATGCAACTGCATACAGTTCTGATCGTATGGGATTCTGAAACTATCTATTTTCTTTTCTTTACTTTGAGAAAAAGATCAATTTTTGTCTTCTTTCGATGATATTTAATATATATGTTTTGGGGTTGAAGTGTGAAACAGCCCAGGTTAACTTTTTGATCGAGTTATGAAATATTCCTCTCATGTCGTCACCAATTCGATAAGTTTAGGTGGGGATTGAGCTTCTTTAACCATGGAGGGTGCTGTTGAGACACTACCAAAAGTTGAAGCGATCGATAATGAACTTCAGCTTGCTAGATTCTCACGACACCAGCCTCGTGTTAAAGTGTACTCGTCATCCTGGCTCGATATGAGAGTCTTCTATGTCAGAATCAGTAATTTCCAAGTGGACGGCTCAACGCCCGAGTTCCTCACGCTCAACCATATCCCTCTCAGCCCGGACACCCTCTTTGAAGTGAATGGTGTTAGAAGTAGCAGTCACTCAGAGGGAGTCTCTTCCTCTCTGAGGAGAGATAGGGCTGATAAGAAATCAGAAGAAGCTACTTTTGTGACTACTGATAGTATAAGGTTGAGTGGAAGTGTGAAATTTGAGGTGTATGACAAGGAAGATTTGATTCTTTCTGGGGTTTTGGAGATGTCGAATTGCAACGGTTTATTCGGGGAATCGAAAGGCAATGCCAAGAGGTGGAACATGAGCTGCAAGTCGAAGTTGGGTGCTGGCTTCTTGAAGGTAAAGCATATGATTGGAGCTGAAACCCCCGCTCCGATGATCGAGGTTTATGTAGCTGGTAGCTTTTTGGGAAATCCCATCATCTTGACCAAAACTTTGCGGCTAAGCTCCAGAAAGAAGCAGGGTTGGAAATCCATGTTGGACGCCATACCAGAGTCTGAGACACCTGAATCTAACGAAGATCAATTTCCAGAACATGATTTACAGGTACATCACTGATCTCTGGTCAGCCCCATGAGGTTTTAATACCCTGTGAGTTATTTACACGTGATATCGCAAATTCAAATAGTCGTCTCATGATTAGTTCGTTTTGTTTGTTTTTGTTCTGATTACTTACATGAAATAGGCTATTTAAATTCCCGATCCAAGTTCTATATGAGGATAAACTACACACAAAAGGACCTTAATTAGATTATATGCTTGATGATGCTATCCAAATCTCTAAAAAACTTGAGAATTTGGTTACACCTATTTGTTTCTTGGTAGTATCTGCTACTTTTTCATTTTCGTACTCGAAAAGGTAAATTTAACTGCAGTGACTGAGTTAGTAGCTTTTGGATTAATCTTCATTTTCTGCCTACCTTTTTAATGTTCATATTCTTTTCTGCCTGACTGAGTCTCTTATAATTCTTTATAAATTTTCCAAGCCTGCATCCTCTTGATGGATCATCTGCATATTGGCACTTGTCTAAATTATTTGGTTTCGGAGATTGATGTACTGTCCCTTGATTTCCTTCACTCTGATTCCGATCGAGCTGTTGAGTTTAACTTTCTTCTTAGTTTCAATCGCTCTCGACGCATTGCAACTAAGACTATTTGATCATGTGGTTGGTTGGCTTGATATACTCTCAGTCATCAAATATACATTTCAATCCTTGTAGGCCACAGAATACATAAGATACAAACAGGACGTCATCGATGACGACTACTACGACAGCAACATGTACTGGAAGAGGCGAGAGTATTTGGAAAATGAAGATGGTGAACTTTCCTGGTTCAATACAGGCGTGAGAGTCGGTGTCGGTATAGGGCTTGGTGTTTGTTTAGGAATCGGCGTAGGAGTAGGCTTGCTCGTCCGTACCTACCGAGCGACTACTCGGAACTTTGCAAGACGGCTCACTTGATTTGACAAAGAAACTTGTATAGCTAAAATTTTGATTGTGGAAACATGGATGTTTAAAGAGAGAGTGATGGAGCATTACTAGTTTGTCAATGGAGAGGAATGGTGAGATGATAGATCATTTTAAGCCTTGTATAGTAGTGTGATTATGGTGAATTGAAGCAGAAAAATATATCTTTCCTTCCTTTTTATTTCTGTTTTGGGCCATACTTTTTCTTCGTCCGCTCAATTAAACTAACAAATACTGTAATTAATCGAGAATTTGATATCCTCCCTCTTAATTATTCACTAAAACTAATCATTTATTCTGAATCTTAATTTGATAAAGCTCTATTTTCATCCATTAATCCACTCATTAATTAATTAACATTACTGTAGTGTTAGTATTTTCATATAAATTAACGCTTTATTGGTCGTGACCTTGTTTTGGTTTGTTCGCCACGTAGAAGCAAATCTATTTAACATTAGATAAACAAAATGGTTACGATTTCTAACTTTATGAATCAAATGTGCTTTAGAAAGTTTTTATACATCCAACCTTTAAGGTAGGTTGTTAATGTGTCAGAACAAGTAATATGATAAAAGTATTAAGAAAATTGAATAAACGAGGAGCGGAGAGAGAGGGATAAAGATTCATCGTTAGTCACGATAACACCTTTAAAAAATATTCATGTAATTTGACCTATTAAAAAATGTAAAATCCATCATATATGTTATTTTAATTTAACTAATTTTCGATATTGCCCATCGTAATGAATTTTGTTTTTAATTTCATATTGAATCTTTTCGTATGATTTTTTCATTCTTTTTTTTTAATGTTTCAACAATGGTATTAGTTTAAATATTAAAAATTTCAAACTTTAAAGTGCAGTTAGCTACTCTTGTTAATATGAAGATACGAATATGTCATGGGTAAAATCCTACCTCCCACATGGTTACATCTTACTGGACACAAAGGCCATGAGCCTTGCCCAATTACAAATAAATTTAAGGGATAGAGGCCTACCACTGGCAGCAGAAAAATGATTTCGCTACCCGACAATCTTCTAATGATACTCTCTAACTGATAATACGGTCAAGATACATCATCAGGTATCTTCGCCATAAAAGGAGAACAAAAACTAAGTACGCTAACTTCTAGCATACAAATCTATTGCTCTCCTACCCAATTCACTCTAGCTTAAACACTGACTTAGATGTTTAAAGGTGTTAGAGCGAATACTACATCGTGTTGAGTTTGGTTGATTAAATGTAATCCATAAGGTGAGAGTATCATATAATCACCCAAGATCTCGCCAACTCATATTGATCAGATTTCGACATCAATAGTAAATAAATAACCTATTTAATTTAAGTTTTGTTCAAAAAAATGGGGAAATATGAACATTTTTATAGCAGTTGGGGTGATTTTGATAAATTGTATTCCAAGTAGAGGCGGAAAAATATAAAATTCAAATAAATAGAGGATTTATATGTGGTGTACGGAATTCTCTAACATCTTCCGTTGTCGTCCAGCGGTTAGGATATCTGGCTTTCACCCAGGAGACCCGGGTTCGATTCCCGGCAACGGAAATTTTTTTCTTTGATTATTGGTCATTTTGTGTATATATGTTTAATTACTATATTGTTTTGGTCGAATTATAACTGAACCTTCCGTTGTCGTCTAGTGAATAATACATTTGGCGTTACACTAGGAGATCTAAGTTTGATTCTCTGGAAATGGAAAAATTTTTATTTTGATTATAGGCCATTTTGTTTACATACATATAAGCATTTAATTTTTCAACTCATTAAACAAATATTCCGTTGTCGTCCAGCGGTTAGGATATCTGGCTTTCACCCAGGAGACCCGGGTTCGATTCCCGGCAACGGAATTTCTTTTTTTCCACGTATTTTGCATCCAGGTTAGAATACCTTCCACCTTCTTCATCCTTTTTGCAGTCAGATTTCCAGCTTGGGATCGAACCTGCCGTTTGTTTTTTTGTTTTCTTTTTCTTGTAATCGTATATCTTTATACATTCCAATCCTTTTTTCCCTTTTCCTTTCTGAATCCATGCTAAATCGAAACTTTTATTTCGATAATTGTAGGAAGAAGTTCAGTTTCGTTGAATGTTGTGCTCCATTTTGGATTTTGCATACAGCGTAGTGGTCGAATCTTGTGCGAAGAAGAGAAAACAATCTCGATTTTATATTTTCTGTAGCTAGGTCTGTTTCTGAAATTGCGAAAGTAACGTCTGTTGTAGGTGATTTTGCTTGTTTGAAATGGCTTCCTCTGCTCTAATCTCCGACTCCGAGGCATGGAAGAACCTGAAGGTACTTGGATTTATTAGAGTGAAGTTTAATTTAAGTACTTGGATGTATTACCATAATGCTGAAGCTTATCTTATTCGCAGGCCCATCTGCGTGATTTGATGAGTGATGCTGCCCGATGCAAATCCATGATGGTGTATGTTGATCATAGCTTTTTTGGTTTCCCTGGATCTTTTAATTTATATTCATACCATTTTATGATGAACCCATAAGTTAGATTATTGAATGTGATTATGCTTAGCATTTGATGATGCTATGTTTTTGTTTGTGAGCATGATGGGTTACTGTTCTTGACACCATTGGAAAGCTATTCAAGTTGGCAGAGGTGGGATTTGCTCTTTGTTATTACGGATGGATGGGAATTGTTGTTCTCTAATAACTTTTGGCATTTTGTTCAATTCAGGTGGCCAATCTGAAGGAAAATAGTTTTCATTTCTAATCCGTGCAAATAATTTTGTTGAATCAATAGTAATGATCCAGTAGTTTTCTATTCTTCAGGAAGCAAATGTTGGCGTTTTAACTCATATGCCTTATTTGTGCATGAAAAAGTATACAAGTTCCTCTCTGCTTTGTTCTAGAGTGTCTAAACTTTGTATCATCAGTCTTTAACATTGGAAAATAAAAGAAGATAATCATGTCTAACTGTTTTGCACAGCCAGATGCCATCCTTCTATCGTGAAAATCATATGTATTGAGAAACTCTGGACGAATTTTGTATTTCTCCCTCCCCCCATTTGTGGGGGAAACTCATCGCGTTCATCTCAAAAATATAACTTGAACATCAACGTTTTTATAGACACCGGAACAATTGCGCAATGAGAATGTTCCAGAGCATCTTATTTCCCACTAGGTGACACACTTTGATGTTAACTTGTGTCATCTATTCCTGTTCTTCAGCTGGTCTTCTCTCAGCATCCTTCTTCCATCACTGAATGCTTACAACATTGGTCAGGTATGCCATCAGATAAACTTTTTACTTCATTTTTAAAATACCCTCTTTCGAAGTTTCTCCCTTCAACCTACTCGTACTTTTGATGCTACGACTGATTATATTTAATCCCCAGTTGCTGGCGATCTATGAGCATAGAATTGCTGTAGAAGGCTTTGTTTGGGGCATCAATTCTTTTGACTAGTGGGGGTTGAATTGGGAAAGGTATATACTTTTCCAGTAGATTATTCCCCTCCCCCACGTCACATGAAAAATTCAACAAAAATAGGACTGTAACATGTTCTTGTTTTTTTTTTTTTCCTTGAGCGGCCGAGTCCAGTAATACTAATATATCTCATGTCTGAATGCAGCCTCTTGCTACCCAGGTCCGAAAGCAACTTAACGCATCCCGAACAAAGGGAGGATCAATTGAAGGCTTTAATTTCAGTACAACATTGCTGAAGAGATATCTAGAGGTATGATTATCCCAACAAAGTGGTGGATGAGTTTTGGTTGTGAATTTTACTCTTGATGCTTGTAAATGAAGCACTTGAATGCTCTGCATCTATAGGCTTTTATGATTTTGTTGGTTATCTTGTTTTGCAGGCAAGTTCGGATGTTCCATCTGATCTTCCTGCTCTTCTACCCAGAACTGAACCTGCTTCTGGCCAAGAGTTCTGATATTGAATAACATAAACCGATTATGTATTTTCCTTAAGTTTATGCTAAGAGTGACTATTTCTTCCCCGAGAAAATCTTCGATGTTGTGCAATGTGTACAATTGCGGTGCCCCCTCTTCCGTCATACTGATCTTCCTCTTTAAGTCGGAAATGGATGAACTTATTTATTTTTTTATTTTTTGGATAAATGGGAGTCGGAACTATGCTCCCCTATAAAGTGATTCTGGGTGAGAAAGGTTTTTGAATAGTTGATTTTCCTTTAAGCTTTCGTCGTCATTGCCTGTAGGATTACTTCAGTCTTTTTGAATTATCTACATTCACAACAAAGGTTGTTCTGGATGAGAAAAGTTTCGGAGTTGATCTTCACGTTGCTTACACTTCGCATTACAGTTTAGAAATGCTAAGTACTTTGTGTGCGTGTTTTTCTTCACTTTTTTTTTTCTTTTTGGAAGAGATTTTCTTATCTTCTATTTGATTATTAGAAAAGTTCAACCAACAGAGAGATGTTAAAACGAAGCGCGGTATGGTATCTGAATTCTGTTCTTACCATACGAAATAGTTTTTTATAAGTGCTTTTATCAGCAAAATTACAAAGCTCTCGACGTGGTATTCATAAGATATCTATGTAATTCAACATTATTGAAGATTGTGGACGAGGTGCATTGGATAGAAACTAATTGGTAAAGTTTCTGACTGATTAAAAATGGCTCAATGCAATGCTCTTAGTATGGTATTCAAATTTCTTGAGCAACTAAGAAATGGCATTTCCTCCATTTTTAACAGACTGTTGCTTATTTTTGTTTCTGGTTTTGTCATTTGTTTAAAATTTGCAATCTCAGATACAAAACGAAGTTCTTTTTCCTAATCTGATAATCATATATTCAACAAAACCAAGCCACTTCGACCCCACAGAAATGCAGGTTTGATCGAAGTGTGACAAAAAATGGGAAACGAACCGGAAATTCTCCATTCCCGAGAAGCTAGAGATCTCTCAAACTCCTGTAGAGCCGAAGCCACCTTCACCTCTGGCAGTCGAATCCAAATCCTCAACCTCCAGCACCTCCGGAGTTACTATTTTCTCAAGAATCAGTTGTGCAATCCTGTCGCCCGCTTTCACTTCAAAATCTACATCAGAGTGGTTGAACAGAATCACTCCTACGGGACCTCTGTAATCAGCATCTATCACGCCCGCACCAACATCAATCGCATGCTTCAGAGCTAAGCCCGAACGCGGCGCTTCAAAATCACCAAATCCTCAGTAACGTTGAAGAAAGTTTGAGACGTGAAAGATGGACGCGTAAATAAAGGAAGAAACAATACCAATCCGAGCGTAAGTTCCTTCTGGTATCGCGATGCTCAAATCAGTCGGAACCAGGACTTTTCCTCTCGCAGGAACTTTCGTCTCTGTCGCACTGCAATAAGATACGAAACAAATCTAAGAAACTATCGCTAACCAAACTTCACTGCACCAGTTCATGGAAGTGACAGAGTCTCTAATTGATCACCTGGAAAGATCGTAACCAGCGGAGAGAGCGGAGGCTCGCGATGGCAGCACGGCTTTCTCAGACAGCTTCTTCACCCTGAGAAGCGTTGATAAACTGCTGATTTTCTCTGATTCGCCGTTCTCGTGAGCGAGCTTAGGGACCTTGGGCGACGGTTCATTGACTTCTGAGCTGCAGTTCTGCGCCATTGTTAGGGTTTGAGAGAGAATGAAGCCGCAGAGAGAATTCAATCTGAAATTTATGTGGATTGGCGGATAGTTGGAAGCAAGTGAAACTGATTTAAATAGAGGAAGACCAGAGATAAATGCTCCACGGTCGATAATGGCGCCAAATTTTCCCGCCATTTTACGACGACGCTGTAATGGAGGGGAGCGAAGCGAATCGAAATCCTCTGGTCTTCTTCTTCTTTAAAGTTTGAAACTTGGTTTGGGCCTTTAATTGGGCTCGATTAATGGTTTGGTTATTTGGGCTGCTGCCTGAATTTCTTGGTTTATTTTGGGCCTAACGATCTTCAGCCCAATTTTAATTTGCCCGATGGGATTTAGAAAAAAGGAAAATAAAATCTTTGTTTCGAAATTTTACTCCAGTGCTGTCTTGCAATGAATTGTTACATGAAATTAAATCACCGAGGTTATTTTAGAAAACACAAATAAAATAAATACTTCAAATATTCATGAAGATGGTTCCAAAAAAGACTTTGAAACTTTCCTTTCTATAAAATCTTCAAGATATGCTTTGTCAAATCCCCTTTAATTCAAGTGTACTTCAATATTTGTTGGGAGAATTAGTTGATGTAATGGAAATTCAACATTGAGCTATCCAATCAATTTGGCTGTCTAATTTATTGTCATGTCAGTAAATTAGCACTGGATACATGTTTTATCCATTAATATTAATAGTATTGGCTATAGATAAACATAATTCAGCATGCACAAATTTTAAAATATCAAGACATTATATACATTATAACCTTGTAAATCATATATAACAACAATTCAATAACTTCAAGAATTAGGTGTTGCAAATTATTTGCTTTCTAACACTGTTTCTAGAAGGAAAAGTGAGGTGTATTCTTATTTCAACTTCATCATTGTGTACATGTATGTATATATGTATATTACTCTGGTATTCTATTTGAGATCACGCATGCAGAGCTCTACCGCGGAAGAAAAGTTATTAAAAGCTGTATTAAAAGCTGTATTGATAAACTCTAAATTAAATTGCAAATTTGGTAATGAATTTTGATAACTGTATTTGTTTGATTTGTAAGGATTAAAATATTTCAATTATGTCACTATATTTTGTGTTTTTCAGGTAACAAGTTGTGTTTTTAATAGGGTGAGAGATTAAACTCACGACTTATTTGTTGTAAATATATGCCATTTATTGTCTTTATTATTATTTAAATGTTGAGTGACATGTCTACTAAACTAATGAGTAGCGATTTTGTTTAGTTTTACCTAATACAATATAAACAACTAAATAAAACATCGTTGTTCACATATACCAAATCACGACATTTTAGTTAATAATTATACAACCATACTAGTTAAACTCAAAATAAATAATTCATAAATGGAATTTAAACTTTTGAAAGAGTTAACATAAATAATTAAACCTCACGAGTCAATCTAACATGTGGAGGTAGGATTTTAAACCCATGGTATTTTGGTTAGAAAATCATTCGAATCAATTGAGTTCAAATTATCTTGTGCACTTTGATATTAGTCCAAATATACGTATATTAGTTCAGGCGCACATAAGTTGTTTCCGAGTAACACGGAATAAATTCATTATTTAACTTAATAATTTAACTAAGATTTCAAAGTTAAAAAGAGAAAAAGAAAAAAAAAAGTAAAAAAAGAAAAGAACTTCAGTACTCTCAGTCTCAGTCCACTTCTCGTTTCAATTTCACCTTAACCCGCGCCTACAAGTGCGCAGAGCGCACGCGCCATTCCATTACACTCTTCCCATTCCCACCAAAGCAAACAATCAAAATTCACTTTATCCACATCCCCCTCCGTTTCATCAACTCGTCTGAACTCCACGCGCCAGTGCCAATCCCACGTAGAAGCGTGCGCATCACGCTCCTCCACGGCGACAGTAAAACGGAGAGAAGGGACACTATCATAGAAGAGAAGAGTACTCAATCAGTCGTGGGCCGACGTGTCGTTCCGTTCCCCACTTTTAACCTAACGCCGTTTCCACATTTTCGTTTTCTCTACAGTTTTATTTATCGCTCTTCATCTCTCGTGTGTTTATATTCCCCCCGTAACCCCATTTCTCGACTCTCACCTCGTCCTAAGCGCAATCATCACCGAAGGAAGAAAAGAAAAGGGTTTTCTTTGTTCTCCCGCTCTCTCTCTATCTCTCTCTCTTCTTTCTCTGCAACTCCCTTCGATCGTCCATGGCCGGCCGCTTCGACTTCGGTTCCCGTCCCAATCTCTCCGTCACCAGTCCTCTCCATGCCCCCAATGGTATTTCTCTTCCCTTCTCTCCACTTACTGGAAGCTCCGCCGCTCCTTTTTTTGGGGGTTTTTGCTCTTTAAGCTTAACCTAGCTCAGGGTTTTTGCTGGCTCGCTGTTTGCGCTTTAATGTTGTATCTGGGTGTGGCCGCGTCGGACTGTGCTGATACTTGTCGTTCTTGTAGTTAGGGTTTTTGGGGTATCTCGATTCTGGGTTTCGAATTTTTGGGTTGCATTATTGATTTTACATGCGGGTTTTTGTTTTTGTCTTGCTGGCCAGCGAACGATTAAGTTCGGATTTCAGTGTCTGCCTATTGTGGCCCTTGGTTGTAGATTTCCTCCCTGTTTTTTGTTTTTTGTTTTTTTGAATTTCTGTTTCATGAGTCTAATGAAATGTTGTGGGGCTGGGAGTATTACCCGAGTTATTTGTGTTTGTTTATTGGAGTGGGAAGTACTGTCTTTCTAAAGCTATTCGAGGGTACACGATCAGAAAGCTTTTGAATTTATTCACTTGGTTTCTAGATGAAAGCTTGGATTCTTTCTGCACATCGCCAATCCTATTCGTGCGTGTTTTCTAAAGGATCCGACAATTTTTGCTTCCATGCATGTTATTCATACAAGTTGGGATAATAAAATGCCGGACTGAAGATTGGTGTTCTTCGACGTGAATTCTGGAAAACAAAAATTAATCATGATGAGATACGCTTGTGTGTATGAATACTGCTATATGTGGCGGGATTAAGTTTCAGCTGGAATTAGGCCTTTATGACGTCATGTTATTTTTTGACAATACTGAGAAATAATATATATGTTATGATATTGAGATATTGAATTCTTTGAGTTCACGCATTATTTGGGTATGAAATAAACGTTTGTAGTAAACAGTGGCTTATGCTTATACCTGTCTCCAATTGTTCTGCCACTCTTTTGCTGCATTTGCTGGAAGCTTGTAGTCTGATTTTCACATCACCTGTAGATTTTTTCAACTTATTCATTTGTAATGATGTCATATTGAAGCTCTACTGTCAATTATAGCAATACTGCTGGTGTCCAACAAAATGGTCCGTAGTGATTAACTTAAATGCAATAATGTCGGTACAAGTGCCTGCAGCCATTCGGTCCTTCTCCATAAGAAGACCATACTAATGTTGGCCCATGGGTGACTATTTTTACCGAATAAAAGATTTGTTTTTTATTTTTTGCATGTGAGAAAATGATTTAGATGGAAGTTGGATGAATCTACAGTTATCGCTCTTACATGAAATCTTTGTGTAAGGCCCTTAGGGATAAGTTAGATTGCTCTGGGGTTGAATTCTGTGGATCAATTCAAACTTCAAATCTTGTTATTTTAAATGGCATGACTATTTCTGCATAGCAATTACTAATCAGAATGATGTTTATAAAATAAGAAAAAATATTTAGGTTTCGGATTTACTGATTTTTAATATTTTAATGCAGATGTTCAAGGATCTGAAAATCCAATTCCTCTTTCGCCACAGTGGCTTCTGCCTAAGCCAGGGGAGAGTAAGCATGGAATTGGAACTGGGGTATGTTGGTTGAACCTTGGCCCCACAATTCTCCCAGTTATATAGTGATGTAAACTGTAATTCATTCCCTATTAGTCCTGATGTATCCCTGGTTCTTCTTAAATTTTCACATACAGGAAAACCATTTCAGTAATCCACCTGCTTTTCGAAACCGCATGGACATGATGAAGGCATCAGAGAATTATGAGGATACGAATGATATGCAAAAGAAAAAAGAGGTTTTTAGGCCATCCTTGGCTGATGCTGAAATTGGTAGGCGTGACCGTTGGCATGATGAAGAAAGAGAAAATAATTCTTCAATGCGCAAAGATCGTTGGAGGGATGGTGAGAAAGAGCTAGGTGATAGCCGCAAGATGGACCGTTGGGTTGAAGACTCATCCACAAGAGTATTTAGAGAATCTCGTCGAGGCCCTTCAGAACGTTGGTCTGATTTGAGCAATAGGGATAATGTTCATTATGATCAACGACGTGAGAGCAAATGGAATACACGTTGGGGCCCTGATGACAAGGAGACTGAAGGCTTTCGTGAGAAGCGGGTGGACTCTGGAAGGGATGGTGATTTGCATCCTGATAAAAATTTATCTCATGTGTCCAATTATGGGAAAAATGACAGGGATGGTGATCATTATCGCCCCTGGAGGTCTAGTGCTTCCCAAGGTCGAGGTAAGGGAGAACCCCCTCACCATCAAACCCAAACACCAGTCAAACAAGTTCCTGCATTTTCCCATCGTGGACGTGCAGACAACATTCCTCCAACCTTCTCTTTAGGTCGAGGAATCATTAGTTCTGGTGTAAGCTCTACAAATAATATTTATTCATCTTCTAATTCTCTTGGAGCTTCCTCGGAGAAATCTGGAAGGGATCCTTACCACTACAAATATAGCAGGACAAAATTGCTTGATGTATACAGGACTACCAATCTTACATTGGAGCCATCCCTAAAAGATGGATTTGTTCCGGTGCCTTCCCTTACTCTGGAAGAACCATTGGAGCCTCTTGCTCTTTGTGCGCCGAGTACAGAGGAAATGGTAAAATACTGTTATATACTGTTGTGTTTAAGTATACTGGTTGTTAAGCTGTTTGATTGACAACTCTCTCTCTCTTTTTTTTTTTTTGAACTTTTAGACTTTCTTGAAGGGGATTGATAAAGGGGAAATCATTAGCAGCGGTGCACCACAAGTATCAAAGGATGGTCGAAACTCATCAGAATTTATGCAGACAAGACGAGCCAAACTTGGTGTTTCACCTTCCCCAGGTTCAAAATACTTCCTCTTAACTGTTAGAATTTGGCACTGGGTTCTGTTTTCTCATCAGAAAGAATTTTATCTGAGCAGGCAGTAGAGAGGATTTACCTCATGGCTTTGATGATTACAATGATGATAAGGATGATAGTACCACTAAACCTGGTCACATAAACTATTCAGAGCTCTCTACCGAGAGGCAGATGCCTCCTTATCACAGGCCCCAGTCAAAAATAGAAACCATTCAGGAACATATGGCACATGCTAGTGGCAAGTTTAAATCTGAAGGTAAGCTACTCCTTAACTGGAGGGAAACAATGTTCAGAATTTTACACTTGCTACCTATAGTTTGATGTGGGCATAACTGTAAGAAGTGTCGTCTTAGTTTCTCTTAGTTGAAGTCATATCTCATCAGATTGTTTTAGATCCATTGAAGTAACAATCTTTGTAGAGGCAGGTTTTCCAGAGCTCATTTTGGGACTACCTTTTGTATACTTTCATTCTACGCTTGAATAGTTTTCCATTTGTAGTAAAAGAAGAAGAAAGGATTGAAGAAATGGCTGGAAACTTATTCAGTTGTCATTACATTAAAATTTCTATTTTGCAGTTGGTATTACTAATCTGGGGATATCTTGCGACATTTCTTTCTTTAACTTTTAAATGTTGTATCTTGCCCCTGGTTTTTCATTTTTTATTTTTTTTTTGGTTTTGGCTGATATGTATGTATCTGATCAGGAGTGTAATCCTTGTTTTTCAAATTACAAATTTTTGCACGAACTGTTGTTTCTTTTATTGCTGAGGATGTTTATACAAGGCTTGTATTTGTGCAGCTTTCAGAGAAGATGACAATGCTATCAGAAAAGCAGATGAGGTGCCTGTCAATAGGGAATCAAGTGTTAAGGGGGGTGCCACTGTTCATCCCGGCAGTGCATGGGATGCCTCATCGCTTGAGCAACCCCTGAATACATCCGTGCCTGATTGGAGAGATAATCATAATAATATTGGATCAGGAACTCCTGACAAGGGTTGGTTACAACCTCCAAAGAATCTTAATGATGGGTGGGGAAGTAACACAGCTACTCCATCTTATCCGAAGGACAATCCCAAATGGCAGACCGGGGAAGAATCTATCATTAGAAGGCAGCTTTCGGGGATTTTGGACAAGGAACAACTAGCAAGGAAAACTATTCAATCTGCTCCAGAGGATATGCAACTTCATTACATTGATCCTTCTGGTGCAATTCAAGGCCCATTTAGTGGAGCTGACATTATTCAGTGGTTCGAGGGTGGGTATTTTGGCTTAGATTTACCTGTCCGTCCGGTAAGTGCACCAAATGACTTGCCATTTTCAGCACTTGGTGATGTCATGCCTCATTTACGGTCTAAAGCCAAGCCACCACCAGGATTCAGTGGACCAAAACAGAATGAATTTGGAGATGCATTAGGTAACACTAGTTATGGTAGCTTGGGAAAGCTTCATACTGGTTTAAATGAGATTGATACTTTGAGGAATGAGACAACGCATAAACATGGCTCAACAGTAGAAGCTGAAAACAGATTTTTGGAGTCACTCATGTCTGGTAATTTAGGTTCTTCACCTCTCGAGAAGAGTGCCTTTTCTGAAGGTCTGTTTTTGTATGTGAATAAGAAAATTGTTATATCACTTTCCTTTAAAGTTCTTTTGCACTGATAATTCTTGTTCTAGTTTCATAGTGGAATCTAAATTGATTGTTTTTCTCATTTTGTTGGTGTGTCAGGATATTTTGGAAATAATCCTAATAATTTGCCTTCCTTGGGAATAGACAATGGAAACAACCTTTTCCTGTTGGCCAAAAGAATGGAACTTGAACGGCAAAGGTCTCTGAACAACCCTTATGCATTTTGGCCTGGAATAGATGCTACGGCGAAGGTCTCTAAACCAGATGTTGGCCTAGACGATCCAATTCAGCAAGCAAAACTCTTGTCTTCAATCATGGACCATTCTCGTCAAACTTCTCATTCTCAGAGTGCTGACATGTCAGCCATTCTACAAGGCTTGTCTGACAAAGCACCACCTGGCATTAATGATGTTGCTGCGTGGTCCAAATTTGCTTCACAGTGTGCTTCCGATCCTCTACAAAGTAAACTCGACTTGCACCATGATCTTAACTTGTCTTCGCAGGCACCTTTTGGTTTCCAACAACAGAGATTACAGCCACAGCCGTCCCTGACCAATTTACTTGCTCAAGCTACTGATAATCCGACCTTAACTCCAGATAAGTTTCTTTCTTCCAGCTTATCTCAAGATCCACAACTGATAAGTAAATTGCAGCAACAGCACCTGTTGCAGTTGCATTCTCAAGTGCCTTTTTCTGCACAACAAATGTCGTTGCTGGACAAACTTTTATTACTCAAGCAGCAGCAGAAACAAGAGGAGCAACAACAGTTATTACAGCAACAGCAGTTACTCTCTCAGGTTCTCTCAGAGCATCAGTCACGTCAGCATTTTGGTGATCCATCTTTTGGACAGTTACAGGGTGCTCCTATACCTATTGGAAATGCATCTATTGATCCATCTCAAGTCCAGCTATCACGAGAGAAGTTTCAGATTGGTTCACAGAAGCCCTTAAATGTTGCAACTACCTTTGGAAATATGCCTCTGCAAGTTACCCAAGGAGCCAGTTACAATGTTAATCCGGAAGATCCGTCCCTTGCTCTTCCACATCAAATGTTTGGAAATGTTATCCAGCAGAAGAGTTGGAATGCTGCTCTCCCTGAACAGTTTAATGATACTCATCCAAAAGATATGTTGCCAGGATCCAAAGTTGGTGAGGGTCCAACCTTGCCTGGGATGATTAGCAAATCAAGCGAGGATGTGAATCTTGTGCCACATTCTTCTGACAACAACACTAATAAAGTTTTAGAGAAGGCATCAGAGGATGTACCTAGTCTGGATGCCACTGTCACATCTCTTGCATCTGATGCTACTATAGAACCTCTTCCTCTCAAGACTGCTGAAGTCTCCGTTGCCATACCACCAGTAGAAGTTCGTATTAGTGAAATTTCCATTCCTGAGAGTGTACCTGTTTTGAAGGTTCAAGAAGCTAGTATGCCTGTGGAAAAGCTGGGAAGGGATGTAGTATGCAAGGATGAGACCTTGGAGACAGAATTGAAAAATGTTGAAGTACAAGAACCTAGAAAATCTTCTGATAAGAAGACCAAGAAACAAAAATCTTCAAAGTTGCTTTCCTCCGACCAGGCCAAGGACTCTAAGAATTCTGCTATTCAGCAATCAAAGCAATCAAAAAGTGGGAAACCAGAACTTAATGATTTGAAATTGAAGGCAGATAGTGTTGTGGGAAAATCAAGTGATACATCTTCCTCGCCTCGGAAGATTAGGGATGCAGATGCCAAAATTGCAGTGGTGGATAGTCAACCATTTCAAAGCTCTGCATCTGCTGTAAATTCCTGGAACGATGCTGAAACTGTTCAAGTGAAAGATGACTCCAGACTAACTGGGTCTGATTCTGTGCCTAACTCACAAAGTCAATCTGGTCAAAGAGCTTGGAAAACTGCTACAAGTTTCAGGGCAAAGTCGTTATTGGAAATTCAGGAGGAAGAACAGAAGATGGCACATACAGAACCTGCTGTATCAGAGATTTCAATTTCTGTCAACTCTACAAGTTTATCAACCCCTTGGGCTGGGATCGTGAGCAATTTGGACCCAAAAGCTTCTAGAGAAATTCATAAAGACTTTGTGAATTCCGAACCAAGTGAGAAACATGAAAGCTTGTTGAATTCAAGGAGTAGGAAGAGCCAATTGCATGATTTGCTGGCGGAAGATGATATGGAGAAGTCTGGTGGTGTAGGTGATGTTCGTGTTTCTGATTCTGTTCAGATTGCATCTTCTCCTCAGGTTATGACCACACAAGCAGAATCTACAGATGACAATTTTATCGAGGCAAAAGAAACCAAAAAAAGCCGCAAGAAGTCTGCCAAGGCTAAGGGTGTTGGAACCAAGGCCTCTGCTTCAGCCCCTTCTGCTGATGTGCCTGTTGCTTCGAGTCCTGTTGAGAAAGGGAAAATCTCCCGCCAGACACAGCAGGAGAAGGATGCAACGCCTGCCATTCCTTCTGGGCCTTCTTTTGGTGATTTTGTTCTATGGAAGGGAGAAGCTGCTAACGTGGCCCCTGCTCCAGCATGGTCCAGTGACTCTGGTAAGGTCCACAAGCCCACATCTCTGAGAGATATTCAAAAGGAGCAAGGAAGAAAACTCTCGTCTGCTCAGCATTCTCATCAAATCCCTACTCCCCAAAAGGCCCAGCCAACTCAGGTTGGTCGTAGCAGCAGCACCAGTACTCCTTCCTGGGCTCTTTCTGCGTCTTCCCCATCTAAGGCTGCATCCCCCCTTCAGAATATTCCTTCTCAATCAAAATATGGAGGCGATGATGACCTATTTTGGGGGCCCATCGAGTCAAAGCAAGAAAATCAGCAGTATGATTTTACTCTGTCCAAATTTACTTACTTTTTATCAGTTTTAGTGCTACTGATGACCTATTAATGCTGAATCTCCTAGTACTTGGTTAAGTTTGAACTTCTCTCTTTTTTTACTCGCATCTTCTGGGTTAGGGTTTTAATTTTGCTTGGTGACTGTCGTAGTTTTTTTTATTTTTATTTATTTAAATTTTAGCTGCCATTGCTGCGATATAATTCTGGATTTGAAGGGAACTAAAGTTATGTTTTTGTTTTTAGGGTTGATGTTCGTCAAGGGAGTCACAGCAGTTGGGGAAATAGAAACACCCCATCAAAAGCAGCAGCAGCTTCGACTGGGTTGTTAAGCCGACAAAAATCTTCTGGTGGCAAAGCTGACTATCCTTCATCCTCGCCTGCACAGTCAACTCAGAAAGGCAAACAAGATCCAATTACTAAGCATTCAGGTTTGTTTTTTATGGTTTGTGATCCTTTTTTTTTACCTGAAGGAAACGAGGTAGGGTTTCATTTTTATTTTTCCTCGTTGCTTTTCCCTGTCACAAACTTCTTTTTTATTAAGATGTTTTCATCTCCATGCAGAAGCTATGGGCTTCCGAGATTGGTGTGAGAGTGAATGTGTAAGGCTCATTGGGACTAAAGGTATGTTCGCTGGCCTTCTAGAAGAGACATCTTGCTTGTGAATGCGAGTCCTATGAGGCATGGATGCTCATGGTTTGCATTATTTTGATATTTAACATAAGTTTTAGATCACTCTCACAAAGTGGCGTTTGGACATGACAAAATATTTGAGAAAAATAAGAATTTTTTATCATGAAAATATTTAAATGTATAAAAACCTGAAAATATTTTAATAATGTATGGACTATTATGCCTTCGCTCTGGTCTATGGACCTTGTTAATTTTTGTATTCTCTCTCTTTTTCTGGTTATTCGACATCAAGAATTGCTTTATTATTTTTTCGCTGATGGAGTCTCAACTTTTTGCTTGTTCTAGACACAAGTTTCCTGGAATTCTGTTTGAAGCAATCAAGATCGGAGGCAGAGCTGCTTTTGATAGAGAACCTTGGATCATTTGATCCTGACCATGAGTTCATCGATCAGTTCCTCAATTACAAGGAGTTGCTCCCTGCAGACGTTCTTGATATCGCGTTTCAAAGGCGGAATGATAGGAAGGTGTCTGAAATAGCCACCCGGGACATGAATTCTGGGAGTGCTGGTGGAGATCTGGACCCTGATGTCCCTGTTGGGTCTGCAAAGGGCGGAGGAAAGAAGAAGGGAAAGAAAGGGAAGAAGGTTAGTCCATCAGTTTTGGGTTTCAATGTAGTTAGTAACCGAATCATGATGGGTGAGATTCAGACGGTTGAAGATTAAGAGTGTGAAGGAGAGAGAGTGAGAGAGAGAGGCTTTGGAGGCAAATGTAAATACATGACATCC